TGATATATTATTATATATTAACGGTGTGTCGGTGTATAGCCCCTTACTAGTTATTTTAGTTATACAATATTATCATAAGTATTATGAGTTATGAACAAAAATAAAAAATATAATCAATGTTAATTAGTAAATTTTTCTTTATTAATATAAAACAATGAAATTCTTTTTTATTTTTAATGCTTTTTTCTGAAACGACCACAGCATCGACCGGACAAACCGTCGAGGAGAAACGCTGGTGTGAAATGACCATTGCCGCGGATTTTACTGACATACTGCACACCGAAGACGACGAGAGGATCTTCTGAGGTGACGGGCTGTCGGACCAGGACGGCGCAGTGCACTACAACTATACATCCGGCCGACTGCGGTTCAGTGCTCTGGACGGAGCAAGAGGATGTGCGGGAGCTCGACGGCGAAGAATACACGGCATGCAGCGGCGGCGGCAGCAACCGAAAGGATCAGGGAGCAGCAGGTGGACGAGTTTGGGAATCAGCCTTTGCCTGCAAAGGACCACGATCACGGAAACGCTGCCCGCGTCCGTGCAACCGGCTCGTGTTCGTTCTGCAGCGGCAAGGCGTTCGGCCGGGCGGTTCGGACTGTAGACAGCTATTGCAGGCTGCTGATCGAGGTGCTCGTCGGACCCGGAGATGGCGACAGGAAGAATTTTCTAAGTGACGGTGAAACTGCAGATCGGGAGGGTAAGGAGCGTGACGGTGTTGGCAGTCCAGAGAAGCGCGACATAAGGCTTCAAGAGTTCCGGCGAGCATAGTTAGTGGAAACTCGCCGGTTAATCAATCGTATAGGTATGCTGAAATATTATAATTTTACTGAAAATTAACAAATTGGTCTATAACAAGTTGTAACGCTATTAGTTCAGAAATACTGTATACTTATAACTTACGTATGTTATGTGTTGTGATTTTGTTTGGTACTGTTTAATTCGGGGTTACTGCGGTGAGGCTGATTTGTCGTGGCCGGCTTTTGGCCGGCCTGGTTCCGGAGAGCATATTAATTAGTGGAAACTCGCCGGTTAACCCGTATATTATGCTGAAATTATAATTTTACACAAATTTAAACAAATTTTTCACGATTTTTCGACATTATCATAATAATTATGGTCTATAATAAGTTGTAACACTATATTAGTTCAAAAATATTGTATACTTATATAACTTACGTATGTTATGTGGTCGTTATATTTGGTAATGTTTAAGGTAAAGGTTCATCTGTCACGGCCGGCTTTTGGCCGGCCTGGTTGTAATGTAAGTAATTACTAATTTGTCATGCAGTCGAGTCGTTTTAATATTTCTTAAAAATATTTCTTGTCGCGCTTCTCGTGGAACTGCCACGTAGCTCCTTACCCCCCTCAGTTTCACCGTCACTTCTCGTCAGTTCCTCCTTCGACCATCTCCGGTTCCGACACCAACTCTGGTATATATATGCACCTCGATCTCCGCAGCCTGTCTTTATCGTCCGGTTCGCCCCGCCGATTTCCCATAACGCCACTGCAGAACGAATCCCGTCGCCGGGCGGGCCGGTTTCCCGGACGCGGGCAGCATTTCCGTTACATATATGCTTTCGGTGGTCCTTCGGCGGCGGCTAATTTCCAAACGTGTCCTGCTCCTCCCTATCCTTTTTCCGCGTTTGCGGCTGCTGCGTGTATCGCCGCTGCATGCCATATCTTATATTTTTCTCCGCCATCGAGCCATCCTCTTGCTCCGCCGTCTGATTCGCTTTCGGCCGCATATTACGTTGTAGTGCACCGCCCCAAGCCGTCGTCCAGACCCGACGAGAACGTGACCGGGTCACCGCAAAGGCCGACCACGTCCTCCGGCATCCCGGTCCGACAGCTCGCCGATGGTCCTCTCGTCGTCCTCAGTTTTGCAGTATGTCTCGTAATAGGCGCCACTTCAGTTGGGCGCCTCTCCATAGTTCCGCGGAATGGACATTATAACCAGCGTTTCTCCTTAAGTTTGTCCGGTCTTTCTTTGGTCGTGTAAATAAGTGATTTTAAAAACTATTGTTTAAATAAATAAATCTCGTTGCTACGGTCCAAGATAATATTATTTATAATACTATGCCATTGTTTAATATAATATTATTTCGTATTTAGTAGTTATTAATTCAATAATAGCCAGATGCATATTATATTAGCTGTGTATTTATACGATATTAATGTTATACCTACCTTATAAGTTATAATTAACAATGGATATATAACGAACAATGGATATATATTTTATGGGCATAAGCTCAACTAAGAAGGCTGGAGTAGTGATGTGGCTATGCCCCCCCCCCCCGAAAATTACACAAATCCTATCTCCAAAATAAAGGAGACTACAAAACTATTTCAATTTCCAAGTTAACCTGCAGGCGTTTGAGTAACGAAGCGTTCCTGGAAATTACCCGCATTTGCAGTTTATTTGAAACTAATAATACCTACCTATAATATTCTCCAAACATAAAGTTGTGGCTAACGTTTATTCGAATTGCATTTTTACGGTGACCCGTTGCAATGGAAGACCATTTAGTTTAGGACCGCCGAACGAATATAGTCCACACCCGAAGTCACGATCGGAACGGTTTTCTACAGAAGAAAACTATATATGTACCCACTACGTAAGGAATCGCGATTTCGGTAAAAATAAAACCAGCCGCTCGCTTTTCGTTTAGTCCTATGAACGTGATTAGGTACACACAAAGAGGGTACACACCGAGTCGCTTGTGATATCAGATTATGGCGGTAGGTATTTATTTTTTCCGATTTAGATTTCGGTGTTTATTATTTCTGATTTCGTTTTTGGTTTTGAATACCGTTTTCATTTTTACGATTTCAATTTCGGTTTTGATTTTTCTCGACTGGTTTCCGGTTTCAGTATCGATTTCGGTTTTAACTTTTAACCGACATTCAAAACCTGTATCTAATATCGGTTTTAAGTCTTGCATCATTATTATACTATTATAAGTTATAGTACTTATATTGTTCAAATTTATTTATTACTTTAAATTGTATTGTTCTATTGGGCTCCAAGCCCGTTTTACAAAATAATTTTTTATGAGCGTCTGAAGAACCTAGTTAAGTTAGAATGTTGACAACATTGGTTAAAATCACGAAAACTTTCAAATTATTTTGAGTTAGAAATTCAAACAAATTGTTCTATTTATGTTTAAGATTTTCTTATATCTAAACTCTGTACTTATAACATTTTAACCTCTCAAAGCACCAACTAGATTCACTTTCCCACCACTACTAAAGTATACTGAAGAATTATTTTAATTACTTATCGTGTATACACACACAAAAAAAACACATGATTGTAAAATCAATATATTTATCACTCCTAAACTCAGAATCTAAAATGTATGATATACAGAGCAGCCTGGTTTAAAGGCATCCTTAGTGTTAGGGTTTATTTTAATTTCATTTAATATTTCAATAGAAGCAAAAACTAAATATTTCATAACTTCTAAATTATTTTCTGTACATTAATTTGAGTAATTATAAATCTAAAACCTATTAAAGTAATAATTCATCTGCTCTCTGAGCAGGCTGTTAACAATAGAACCAGACTGCTGACGGTTATTAACTAATTACCCTGTGGCCTGTTCCCAAAATTATTATACTACTTAGTACCCATACACCACGAGAGCCACGGTAACAACCAACCTACTACCCACCGCCTAAAAAAATATACCTAGTACCCTGTGTTCGGCGCTACTGACCCCTGTTAAAGAATGTTTCAAACTTGAATTCAATGAATAATGGTTCCAAGTGGAGACTCTAACTTTTTGGTTACCAAAAATGTATTATAATAATATTACAGGTAGAGCCGTATTTGAACATTTTGTACCCATTATGTGTTTAACCAGAATCCTAGGTCAAATTTGATTTATACAACCCTAATTCAGACTAATCAGACTCTAGGGTAATCTCAGTAGCCTTTTATTATAGAAGTAAAAGTTATGTGATGTATAATTGATTTTAAGTCTAAGATGTAATTTAATTCCATAAAATAGTGAAATCTGCAGTTATTTTGTTATAATTCAAAATCTAAAAATCATAGAAATGAAACATTTCAATTTTCATTTATAGATATCATCATATGATTGAAAGTTGGTTAGCCTAGGTATATTGAAAACTTTTTGAGTGATTTAAATTGACAATGATAACCATTGATGTTGAATTTACTTCACTATTCAATTCGAATGCAAAAAATTTATTTTCTATAAAATATATATTTAATTACACTTAAAAATTGAATACAATAAAGTTTTAACAATTTATTGATCAAACACATTGCTAACAAATTAATGTAGCATCATCGTTTATTTTAAAAAAAGCAAAATATAACAGAAAAGTTTTAATTAAGTAAAAATAAAATGTTGTTTTTAACTCTTACTAACATGGTATGTTAACTGTTATTTATGGCTAGGAAAGAAACCTTGGAATTGAGTTGTATTATTTGGTAGAGTGTTCGTTCTGAATTATGAGTTTTATCCAAAATTTGATTGCACTCTATTTGAATCTGTAAATATTTTACAATTTATAAATAATTTATTTTTTACTTTTATTTATGTATTTGTTTTCAAAACATCTTTATATTTGAAATAAACTGTTGAATAAACCTTGAACGGCTTGAATATTAAAACAACATGCATTTTAAGATAAAATTAATGGTAGGGAATATGTATTTTAGTGAATTAACCTGGTTTTTTTATACTTTAAATATTTAGAACTCAATTTGATTTTGAATATGATATAATATATTGTAGACTATATTAGTCAATCAAAAACAAAACAAATATATTAAGGGGACGTTACAGTGACATTTGTTGTCTCCGTCTTAAAATATCGTAACATAGTAAATTGCAAACTCAGGAGATATACAACAAATGGCACTGTAATGTCTCGATAAGATAAAACATTTTCAAATGGTTGGCATTAAAATAACCACAAATATATTACAATCAGAACTAATTCACCTTAATCTGTACAAACCTTAGTTTTGAAGAACACCAGACTGGTCTAATCCAAATGTTCCTAAGTTAAGTGCTGCTGAAGCTGTTATATCTAATAAAATACAAATTTCATAGTTAATCTCACATAGACATAAGAAATCAAATTTTTAAGTATTTGTATTAATTACTTACTTAACCCTAAAAATGGATTAGGACCAGTAGTATCCGGACGAGCTGTAAAGAAATTAGATGAACTTGGATTTTGATTCAATTGAAAAATATTTGTACTATCATTTAAAATTTCTCTTCGAAAAGACATATGCCTTGCTTTTAACACTTGAACTTTATTGTGTATACCGTGCAAATGACCAGCTAATGCAATTACATTCTTGTAATACATTTCCCCGATTCTTCTCAACTCTAATATAAAATTTAATTTAGAAATCAAATGATACTTATTTAAAGAAATTTGAGCATACCATCCACTGTGACATTGTTATTATAAGGCAATGTTGCTAAATATTGTTGAGTATTTTCAATTTCATTTTTTAATATGTTTCCTTTCTCTTGTAATGATTTGATAAGCTCAGCAAAGTATTTGATATTAGATTCCATATCTGTTTGAACCATTGCTGGATGGTCATGATTACGTTGAGCAATTTCGAAATCTTGTAAACACTATTGTACAAATAATTACTTAAAATAAAAATCACCTTTTATTTTAAATTAATATAACCTAAATCATTTGTATACCTTATTAGTTTCATATTTTAACTTTTCAACAGATGTTTTTTGTTTATCTAAATTATGTTCTATAAACTGTAAATTTTTTTGACACAATGTTATATCGCCTGCGACTTCATTTGAACCTTTAGATGACATGCGTGCCAATTCAGTGCTCATTGTTTTTTGTTGCTTAAGAAAATCTCTGTAAAGATAATTAAAATACTTCATTAGGCATATCTTAACACTGTATTGTATATTTTATTGTGTTGGTGATACACGACACATCTCATCGAACATTGACATACACTTTTGCACGCATTAATATCAAAGCCAAAGCTCAACAATTTAACTAATTTATCGCTATGGCATATACAACTATATAAATTAAAACACACTTCCACATACAATATGCAAAACTTATCTTTAGTTAGTTGTTGTGTAACTAAATATAGATACATACTACATTAACAGATATTATTTAGATATCAACATAATGATTGTTTTTAAATAATTATACCATTAATGTTTTAAAATAAAATACTTGCTTTAAATTATTGACTAATTGTAAAACTTCATTAGGTACAGGCATTTCAAGAGCAGGTACAGCTTTATTTTGGGCTAAATATTTCATCAACAAACACACAGATTAATTTAAAATAAAAATATACCTTAAATTTATAATTAAAATTAACAATGTACCTTGGTTGATATTTGAAGTTGTATCTAGACCACCAAGACCACGAGAAACTAAAAATGATAATTAATTAATATACATTTTTTATTAAAAATTAGTGACATATTTTTGGAGAAATTGATTTTTCATTTATAAAAGAATAATCAAAAGTCTGTGATACATTTTTAAAGTTTTTTTCTTATCACTTCAGTTATTTGTAAGGTGGGCATTTGCACCCATCTGAATTAAAGAGTCAATTGTTTGTGAAAAAATATAACAATATTGTGCAGATACTAGAAAATTATTGTCATAAAAGTAATTAATATTTATAGTTTTTAGTTTGAAATATGGACGCGTTGGTTTTCTGATACAATATAAATTCTAAAAACAAAACAATTACTGTTAAATTTAGCCATAATTTCTAAAAAAAACCTCTATTAAATAACAATAGGTATTTAAAATTTAAAATTTTTCAATATTTCTATTACAATTTAGAAATCGTGTTTCAGAACCACTCGAGAAAAACCTAAAATGATGCCATTGAGGACTCAAGTAGGTACCACAATTATTTGGCTCCCTCGCATCTATTTTGATATAAAATGAGTCTAGTTTTGTCTCAAACTCAATAAAAAGTTTTGCAAAATGTGAATAGTATTGAGATAAATATATAATTGGAAATTAGCTTGTTAGCTGTTTTATTGGTAGTTTTAGATAACAGGATTGTGATGTTGTCAAAAACAAGGTAGTCTCGTATAACAGGAAAGTACTTTTTTTAAATTAAATTGTTGGTTGGTTAAAACACCACTGCCTTATTTCTTTGAAACATTGTAACTATACTATGTAGATATAAAAGTTTACATATTTTTGATGTGTATTTAGTATATTAATTAAGTTAAGTTATAACTAACCAGGAGCAGCAGAAGTAGTTACATTAGCAGTTGTTCCTAATGTCAATTGTGTACCAGTAAGAGTTGCTGTAGGTTTGGCATTCAATGCTGAAGTTCCAAGTGAAAACGGAGAAGCAGTTGTAGCAGCTGTAGTTGCAGTTGAGCCAAAAGAAAGATTCAATGGAACATTCGAGGCTGCATTGTTACCAAGGGAAAATCCTAAATAATTATAATTAAAATTAGAATAGTTTTCTTTTTCCCTTACAATGATCAGTTCATTAAATTACCTGGTTTAGCTGTAGTTGTTGCTAATGTAGGATTAGCTCCAAATGATAATGAAGTAGTAGGAGCACCTACATTACCAAATGAAGAAAATTGTGTATTTGTAGCTTGCTTATTATTAGTGGCCCCTAAGTTACCAAAAGTAGTTGTGGTCGATGATGTTGATGATGATGGCCAACTTCCTAGCGATGTTCCAAATCCAAATTGAGGGCTGTTGAAAATTGGTTGGATTAATTAATTATTATAAAATAATAATTTAAAAATAGGAATTACACAAAACATTGCGAAGTGAAAACCATATATGTAGGTAGGTATTACATAATCTGCAATTTTTAATAACAATAATAAAACCATTATATACAATGTACAAGTTTAGTGTTATTAAATTATTTATAAACATATAATTTTTTGATTCAAGAGTACCTGAAACGGCTAAAACATATTATTATGGTAAATATTTGAAGACAGTGTTTTAGCGTTTGTGCACGAATCTAAAAATAGTAGGTATAAATAAATAAAATAAACATTCTTACGTTGCTGCATTTCCTGCGTTATTCGCCGGAGTAAAACCACCTAAATTGAACATGGACATGGCGTTTTTGAAATTATAAGTAGTTTTAAGTTAAAATAAATATTTTCAATTTTGATAACAATCCACTTCGTATAAAACGTCTTGATCGCGGGACTGCGGGACTGTAAACTGTTAATAAAACACAAAGTAGTAAATAGTAATATGCTGACAAATAGATCCCGCGTCATCGAGATCCCGGTAACCATTCTGATAAGAATTGATACCAGGTCCAAGTCATTCAGATCCCGAGACAAAATGATCCCGCGTCATTTAGATCCACTGACATTTATAGATCCCTGCTTGTTTGACACATCTAGTCATCTAGATACATTTATAACTGGCGGCATTTTTAAAATTCAAGTTACTAGAGAATTAATAATGCCTTTAGTCTTTACAGTTTAGTGTTTACTCCCCAACTTCATCAAAAAATAACTTACAACATGGTCAGTGTCAATAATATAGTTTTTTCGTTTGTATACTTACCAACTAGGTACTCACATCACCCTTAAATTCGCTGCCTATTTAATCAAATCTGATGAGCGGTGGCATAGGTATAAAAAAATCAATGACCATATGACTTTTTCTTTTTTTTTTGTTATTTATTTATATTTTATACATATTAAAACCTACTATAGGGACCTAGCTTAATTACATTTTTGAAAGAATACAAACTTTTTTTGTTAATTTCTTATTTAGCAGGTCACAATATGACGATCACTCTTAATTTTCATTGTAATGATGGTGGTCCAAGTGTCACAGTCACTAGATAAGTCCTAGTCCCTAGGGTCTAGATTCCACAATGCACAAATTTAACTAGGTATATCCTAATTATCAATCTAAATTTATAAAAAGTACTGTACACTATTTTAGATATATAAATTTAAAATACAGAACAAAACCACACACATGTCTGTGTTGTTGTATCCAAAAATTGCAAACCCGCTTTGTAATTAGGTATTTTACTACTTTCCTACCTAATTTAAAATTTATATTTTTCGGGTCGGACATTATAAGCGAATTCAATCCCAAATTTCGCCACTGTGTCATTGAGCGCTGCACTAAAGATTAGTGTGATAGGCGATTCAGGTTGGTGAATCGATTTAAATCGGAATGAAAAAAATCTATTAAAAAAAAATCACCGAGCAGAATCGATTCAAAAAAGGTGCTCTGCTGTAAAGTAGGTTACAAGTGGGTCACTGTATAATGGATGGTATTAAATTTGAATTCAATGATATAATATCATTGTATAAGAAAAACGATTCTAAGCGGAGACTGTATGTCAGTCTAGGTTTAAGACATATATTATATACCTACTTATCTATGGTATTAAAAAAAAATTGACCTATAATATCTACCTACCTATAGTAAATTCCAAAATAATCATATCACAATATCCATTACTTATAAGCATCAGTATATGTACTGTATATATTGTATGGTACTATGGTGTATAGGAAATGCTAATATAAACATTCAGTGAAATTTCCATGTATCTACAGTTATTCGTTTTTGAATTACAACAAAATAAGGACATCGCTATATGAGAAGTCGAGTGAATATCCAATGTTGTAAAAACTTGAATTTCAAACGCTCATAAAAATTTAATTTGACTTTCTTATAGACATTTTTTTTTTTGATAAAGGTACACATTATAATCTTATAAGGAATCTTGTATTTCATTTTAAAATCTTGGATTTAAAAAGAAAAATTTTTACGAATTCTTAACTCAAAATAATTTGCTACATTTCGTGAATTTTCCATATTTTGTCAATTTTTGAACTTTAAATGCTTATAAAAAAAAACTGTGACTAAAGATTTTTAATATTTTTCATCTGCCTTTGAAATAATATACTAAGAGCCTATTGTTTATACACCATATAAATTATAATGTTGAAAGTATTTTGACTTGTTTGAGCTATTTACAGACAATTTCAAATTTTTTATATTTATATACATATATTATATCAATACAATTTTATTTGTTGGACCATAATGCATGAACATTTTATAAAAGGCTCCTGCACACATCTGCTGTCGGCGCAAAAAATTAGGCATTTTGAAGTTTTTCGACTATTTAGTATTTAGGTATAAAAGAATGTCACCATATTCTATTATGTCCATGCTATAATCGGAGTAATAACTTTTCGTGGCTATGGTGTTTTTTCGTATTGTTCTATGGTAGTAGTTAAAATAATTATTCTTTTGAGAAGTTTAAGTAAAAATAAATAAATAAAGAAAAAGTTCCCATCTTGGAACAAATGTTTTGTGGAACAATTAATACGAGTCCGTACGAAACAATCGTGTTATCACTTATCAGCTTAACAGCAATGCACTACAAAAGATAAGAATCTAAAATATTAAATAACTAGTTTCTACTGTTTCTACTGTTTCTAGTATTGTTCTATGCACTAGCCACCACGGTCACGATTTAAGGCTTAAGCTAGTCGCTATTATTGTTTACCTATGTTAAATGTAATTTTGATATTTTGATTTAATAATTATTGTAACAGTTATAGATATTAATAATTATAATTAATATTACTACAATTATTTATTATCTTTTATTCCTTTAGATAAAACGTAATTTATATTATTTAATTTAATACATTTAAATTTTAGTTACCTATAAAAACAATTAATTTAATATTTAGGTATTTGTTGTATAAATTAAGTTGCATCAATATAAACCATGAGGTATGCTCAGTTGGTGATGGGACCAGCTGGGAGCGGAAAGGTAAATTTTTTTATAATTTATCGTGCCAATCTATATTATTTTATTAATTTAGAAAATTGTTTATTATCCTCATCTAATAGTATTTGGACTTGAATTTTTGGATTTTTTTGTTTATATAGCCATAAGTGCAGCTTCTTTGTGTATTTTTAGTTATTACAGTATAGTTTGTAAACATACCAAGTACTATGATTTTAAAATTGTTTAGGAATTAAATATCTTCAACAAACCACCCTTTGTCCTATTATCTCTTTACAAAATTGGAAATAATTAAAATGTCTTATTGTTTCAAAAACAAACGTTTAGTTTTTATACACATTTTCTGTCATAAATAATCCTGTGTCCTAATATTGTGGTCTTATTAAATCACTACTGAAATGATGTATTGTAATTATTAATTGTATGTTTTTGCAGTCCACATATTGTTCAGCTGTAGCAGAACATATTGAAAATGAAAAAAATTCAGTGATGGTAGTTAATTTGGATCCAGCAGCTGAACGTTTCAAGTACTCTCCAACTGTTGATATACGTGAATTGATTCACGTTGATGATGCTATGGATGACGATTTATTGCATTTTGGACCCAATGGAGGATTGGTATTTTGTATGGAGTAAGTAAGCTATTAGGTACAGGTTAAGTATTTTATCTTAACAAAATATTATTTGACTTACAGATATTTAATAGAAAATCAAGATTGGCTTAGGGACCAGTTGGGTGAAGACGATGATGACTATATTCTATTTGATTTGCCTGGACAAATAGAACTATATACTCATATGAAAACTGTTAAACAACTGGCAGAATTACTTCAAAACTGGGGATTCAATGTGTGTTCAGTTATGTTGATCGATTCTCAGTTTATGGTAGATGGACCAAAGTTCATTTCTGGTAATATTTATATATATATAACTTTATTAATAGGGTTTAGATTTTAAAGTGATATTAATAACAACAAAAGCCCTGTAAATGTAAAAAAGCAACTAATGACATTTCAAATATAAAATAAAGCAGTTTTTATCTGTTTTGTCTTTTTGTTAATTTAAAAAAACTGGTTTAATTATTTTCAGTTTTTTAATAAAACATTAAAAATCTACAATATTATATTTAGATAATTTATCATCCGATAAACATTTATGGTTATCAGCTAAAATATTTGTTTAGAGGAGTCCCTACTTGTTAGAATGTTACGAAACGTTTTTTAAATACTACTTCGGTATTATACCCACCCATTATAGGTATGGCCCAAGGGGAGGAGGGGATTATCATTAGATTGGTCAATTTGTCTAAATAATATTCCTTTAACTTGTACAGTAAAAGAGCTGATAAAAATAAGGTTATATTTTTTAAAACATTATCATGTTTATTTCTTCCGACCAGTGGTGATGAAATTGAATTAGAGTTGCTACACAGTTGAGTGCCCACGGACCCTCACCCACCAAATCAAATGGTGGGCGCCATTGCTTCCAACATATTGCTGTCATGCAGGGATGGAAAACGTTTTTCATTTTTTCGTTTTCATTTTTGTTTATTGATTTAAAAATATTGTTTTTGCTTAACGTTTTTAAAAATGTTATTTTTCTATATTGTTTTTGATAATATTGTTTTTATTTTTTTAGTAACGCGCAGTATAGAAATGCACTTAAAAGTTAAAAATTAAAATTAGTTATTCTTAATATTTAAATTTTAAATCAAAATTATAATTTATATAAAAATTTAAATGTTTTTAAATTTTAAAAATGCATTATTGGTAATGATTAAAAATTAAAAATTTAAGTGAAATTTTTATCTACATTTTTTGTTTTGTGGTATAAATATAATAATGTATAATACTATAATTTATTTTCGTTTTTGATTTCGTTATTAAATTTTTTTCGGTTTTTGGGGTATTTTGTTATCTTTTTCAGTTGTTTTTTTTTTTATTAATTGTTTTTGTTTTCGTTTTTTTCAGTTTAATAACTTTTTAAAAACGTTTTCCATCCCTGCTGTCATGTATGCATCATAAATAATAATATCATGCATAATATGGCATACACTCTAGAATACATTTCATTAAGCTTATCATTAATGAAAAATCATTTTAATCTTGCCCTGTGTGAGATTTCATCTTGTGGTTAAGAATTGCATGAATTAGCATTTAACATTTGTATAATATTATTATGATTGTTTTTAAACATGTTTTGTAAAATTAAATCATAGGAACAATGGCTGCTTTATCAGTTATGATAAACTTAGAACTTCCACATGTTAATGTTCTTTCAAAAATGGACCTACTTAGTAAAACAGCTAGAAAACACTTGGACAAGTAATTATTTGTTTTTATTTATTTTTATGTTTTTTTTTTAAATTTAAAATTGTTCAATTTAGTTATTTAGAGCCAGATACTCGTGCATTGCTGTCTGATGTAAAAAGTCATACAACCTGGGGAAAGAAATATCGGTATTTATCTAAATGTATTGGCCAAATGATCGAAGACTACAGTCTTGTTCAATTTGTACCATTAAACATAAAAGATGAGGAAAGTATTTCTGGTTTACTATATACTATTAACACAATGATTCAGTATGGCGAAGATCAAGATGTTCGTATGACTGATTTTGATCAACAAGATTCAGATGATAATGCAGGAGGCGTTGAAGAATTTGATTAAAGTAAAAGTAGGTTACACATTTTTAGTGATACAATTTATGTATGATTAAATTTGTATAATGTTTTGAATGTGTAACTGTTAACATTATTATTAATTGTGAAGACTGTGTTATTATTATTAAAGTTATACATTGATTAAATTGAGAAAATTAAAAAAAAAATATGTGTAACCGTAGAATTTAATCTGTGCGCTTTATTTTACTTGATCACTATATTAATAAAATACCATAATGTTAAACTAGTTTTGTGATTTAGAACTGTTCTCTACTCCATAATATCATTTATTTACTTCTTGTCATCATTTGATACTTTATGTATATCCCCAAACTGTACATCCTATAAAATAAAGTAATTTTGTTACCTGTTTGTGTTTACATAAAACAAATTATTGCATCAAACTATCAAAGATTATATATTTTTAGAAACATTTTACTGTAAATAGTTTATTTTCACTATTGTAATGTTATTAACACGACACTAGCTAACATTAAATTTGTATACTTAATTTATCATGATAATTATTATTATTTATTACCTACTCATATATCCATGAATTTTTTTTATACTTAATGTTCTATAGTTAATTAGTTATAGATAGTTACCTTATTTCCACTGTAGTTGGTTTTTCTACTTCGTAATGCAGCTGTAATATTGCCACAAACTATTGATTCAATGGTCAATTTAGGTTTAACTTGTTCAATTTCTTTTTATTAAAATTAATAATATTAATATCTTTTTTTCAGGTTAAATAAAATATATATAAAATATCTTACCTAAAGATTGATTTCCATTAAAATGATTTAGGTTTGGTAATATGTTGCGGACATTTTTCTCGAAATTTTCAACTTTTGCCACTGGACATCCCGACAAAGATAAACAACGTAATTGTTCGCAAAAGTTTAAAAAGTGTAACCTTGTCAAATCCATGATTTTATTTCTATAAAATTTGCTTTAGTCAAAATTGTAAACAAATTTAATATGATACCTATTTGATAAAATATACCTACCTAGATAAGTCTAGAGTGGTGAGTTTAACCAGTGTAGAGCATAGCATTAGGTCACTAATATCATTGTCAGAGGCAAATAACTCTTCCACGTTTGGTATGTTCCAAACTCCATCCAATGACTTAAGGTTGCATGAGGCTACTTTTAGAACTTTCAAATTATCAAGTTTAAAAGCAAAATCTCTGTATAAAAACATTGTGTTTCAATTACATTTTCTTTAGCTTAATTTATTACTGTAGAAATAACCTGAATGACGGAAGAAAACTGTCTGTTAAATCAAGCTCCACTAAATTTGGTACATATGTACCCAGCATACACAAACGATTTACAGACATAGGAGCTTGCAATTTGAGTGAAGTGACTTGATCCAAATTTCTGTTTTTGACAGTATCCTCCTTAAAATCCAACATTTGGTAATGTAAGTTTGTATTTTACTTGTGCAGAGTAATATTGTAGATTATATAAATACATAACTAAGCATAACAATTGGTTAAAATATAATATTGTATTTTAAATGTTGAGAGAATGTGAAGAATGATTTCTTTTTAATGGACCAAGTTACTAAAATAAATATTTAAAAAAAATTTAATTAAAATACTCATACGTACAATTCATGTATGTACAAATATTTTTTAAACGTACCTACTTTACGTATTATGTAATACCTATATATTTGGTTTTCATTCTATTACCATATTTTATCACTGCATTTTTGAAACAATATAATTATTAATAGTTGTTAATTGTTATTAAATAATTTATAATAACCTACCAATAGTGTTGTTATACCCATATTTCTGTTGTTGTTTACCTCGTCCAAGTATGATTCCATATTTTTAATAAAGTTTATTACTATTTACATACCTACATTACATACCATAGTAATTCAACTATAATAATTTTATTATAGGTCTCAAATATTGTTTCTTCTCTTATACTTATGTTCGTGTCTCGGCCAGTTTCCATGGTTACCGTTGTTGAATCATTATAATATTCACAAACAACTACCCCAAATTCCCAATGAATAGTTAATAATTTATTATATTTTGCTATTTTTCTTCATAAAAGTAGGTAATGGTACAAACACGCATATCTAAATTCAAGAAATTATAGTGATTTGTAGAAGTAGGTATTTATAGAATTATTTCATACAACTATAATATTTTACTTTATATTTAATTACCTACAAATATCATAAGTATTATGATTTTTAAAATCGTTATTCATTAAATGATTGTAGTAATTATGTGTTGCCATCTTGATCCTAATTTATTGATTAATTATATTCATCTTTAATTAAAATAGTTATCATTCAATACTTTTTTTTTAATGTGAAGTTACTACCTAGTACCTACCTAGTAATCCAGTATCTATATCTTAACATTTAATTAACACACGCATCTCTGTATTTTATATTTTTATCGTTGTTAAATGTAAAAGTACTATTTAAAGTAGGCAAGGCAAATGTTTAGGGAAATGTCCACTAAGTTAATTCAAATTTGATTGCAATTTTCATTTTTCCACCCTCGTATTTTACAATTATACATTATTACAGTTTACAATATTGGCTACAACCTCGGATTAAGATATAATGGACTGGTGATTTTAAATTCACCCCTCCCTCTCCAGGACTAAGATATATCCGCCGTTGTTACAATAATTGTCATGGAATCTTCTATATGGGCAATGGGCCAGATACAGGACAGAATCACTCACCGTTCATATCCTCTCCAGTCCCCGGTAAAATATCGTGAAAGTCATCACTCATCATAGAAAAGTATGGCATTCTTGGTATAATGGTAGGTATCTATTATAACCCTTGGTGAATATATCATCGCAGTCGCATCATAACAAATCGAGGGACGGTATACACGTGTCAAACGTTAGTGTTTAACTGTGAATTAGATTAGTGTTATACCATCAAACATGAAGAATGACTAGACATATAGTTATATTCAGCTGCATCAGGGGCGGATCTAGGGGGGGGGGGGGGGGTTCAGGAGGTCAGCTGAACCACAGTTAACGTTTGCTGATAAAATTGGCCTCTTTTCAGATAACCAGTTGGACACTTGGACCCTCGAATAAACACACATGCAGTATAAATTAATTTTTTTTTATACCTAGTATACAAGTATGGATTTCTAATCTGGTTTTAATAAGGGGCCCCTTGAAATGTCCTGATCCACAGTTTCCCAACTCTGGATCCGCCCCTGAGCTGCATACAATATTGTTTAGAGAAGGTCCATACAGTCGAGGGCCTATCGTCAGTTCGCACGTCTACCCTAGATAGGGCAGCCCAGTGGCGGATATCCGAGGGGGGTAGTTGGTGGACCGCCCCCCCTCAGAACTAGGGTATATCCGCCAGTGGACCGCCACTGGGGCAGCCCGACCCCAGGGTACACCGCAGTATATAAGTATAGGTATTCAGTTTGAAAACATATTATCTTGATCAGAATATTTGACCGGATATAAATATATTTATGTGCCTATGCAGCCCCAATATTGGTCATCGGCAAACAATAATTAGAAACCATTTATATTTGATATTGATTACGGATAAAAATCGCTCATTACCTAATGTCGTACATTCCTGAATAATAAATACTAAAATTCTGAATAATCAAAGAAAATGCATCGGATTTAACAATAATTTATGGTAGTCGTCGTCGTGTATATATAAACGCACACAATATTAAATTATTCTGTGACACCCTGTACTTACGTTTACTTACTTACGACTTACCTACGTATTCTTATGCGCATACGTTCGCACGGTAATCGTTAATATTTAACACATGCGTTTCATTATTTTAAAACCTAAGTAATATTTTGCCCGATTGTTACGGTTAAGTAAACATCGTTTCGGTGTAATCATATTTTATTCAACGTAGGAGACAGTTTTGACAGCTAAACTCGAAATAAATCACGGGGTTAGCGTCGGGCACACATGGAGACAAACAGTAGTCACTCATCAATCGCCGAAGCTCATCCTATTTAAGAACTTCATAATTTTATAATTAACAAATTCTATGGCGCTGACCAATACATTGTTGTTGGCCCTTTGCGCCAATTGGCCACCGTCGAACATCACAGAAACCACTTTACCACCGCCGTGGAAATGGAGTGAGTTTAAAGTTGCCAATTTCACATACGTATTATGATTGTGGCATTTTTCAGTTGAAACAATATTGTTTCTCAAATACTTGATTTCTTCACTTATGGTAGAACGAAAATTGAATTCAGTAAAAAAATGTCTGTAGATTGCATAGAACACTTTCCATTTTTATTTTGTAGAAATAAGAATACAATTTTTAAAAGTATTCGATAGACATTTTTCCGCTGAATTCAAATATTTTCAGAACTGAAATCGAGCAACGTAAACTAACTTTAATTTTATTAAAACTCTCAAAATATATAACGTAAGTTGTTAACAAGTAAGAATATAATACTTAACTTGTATTCCCCACGAATGAAGAAATTCATTATAATAGTTGTAAAAACTATATAAGCAGTGAGCAGTATACGTTATTTGTTTATTTAAATTTAGTTTCTGAGCACAAGGCAAAATTCATCAATAGTTCCGAATATCAGTGTGATCTGAAAAACAACTTTCAGATTCAATACGAAATACTGAGGGGTAAACGGTTGAAAATTGCCACATTTCCAGTAAGTGCGCATATAACAATTAAAAATAATTCTAAATTATATTACTGAGCATAAAAATTGAAGTAGGTACCTATCTAGTTTTAACTAAAAAATTATTTTTGAAAAGCTTATAAATGCATAATATGTCTTTCTGTTTCACAGAATTCAAAACCTTTGAGTTGGGTTACAAAAGAAATCAACGGTACGCTTATCGGCCACGGGATTGCATTTGAAATTGTGGAAACGCTTCGTCAACGATACGGATTCTCATACGATGTGGTGGTACCAACAAGAGAAACTTTGTTAAATGAAAATGGCAGCATCATTTACATGCTAGTTAATGGGGTGAGA